CTGCAGGATAGTGACCTTCCAGGAGCAGGATTGGACACCACTGGTCTACTGGGTTTGTAATATGTTTGAACAAGTCATGTACAAAATGTACAAAATATCAACCAAGGGCTGTAAATAACTACATATACACTTTCAGGGGGGGAAAGGTACAAAATCTGTCACTGGGGTGGCACCCTTTCAAAAGGTACACCTTTGTACCTTATTCAGCCCTTAATACACCATTTGAAAGGGTGCTGACCTAGTGACCATTCTTTTCCGAGAGTGTACCTATGACACAAAGGAATACGAGGGAAGTTTCAGCTGTTTTCGCACATATTATGAAAGTCAATGGGATCATATTTCAAACTATTTCAAGCAAATTTCAAAAGGTACACTCTCTGAAAAAAGGTACAAAAATGTACATATTAGTACCTAAAAGGTAAAAAGTATACATTTGAAAAGAGTGAAGTGTGAAAGGTTGTGATTCGACTGTATCTATACTGTATATCAAATTTTGGAATACACAACACAAACAACTTTTGTCGATTTGCTGTCTGAAATTACAGTCTGGAAAAGTTGACGTTAGTTGCCAAAATCTCCATATTTTGGGCAGTTGAAGTTGACCGATTTCACAGAAAATCTTTATGATGGACACAGGCACCATTTTTTAGCTTCAGACTTTGATTCCATCTAATCGAAGGAGCCAAGTTTAGAACACATTGTTTTCATTTTGAGTTTGAGTTTGTTGTGTTCGTGACAACTTGAGAGTCATTTAGTGCAGCGGTTCCTAATCCTGGTCCTCGCGAATCTGTTCAGATTTTAAAACTCGAGTAGATTTTTGAAGTTAAGTAAGTTTTCTGAAATGACAAAAGCATTTTATATGATGAAGAGAGTTTGGAATGACATGAGGGTGAGTAAATTAAAAAAAAAACTTTTTAAGTAGGGGTGGCCAACTTCGGTCCTGGAGAGCTGCAGTTCTGCAGAGTTTTGCTCCAATCAAACACACCTGAACAAACCTTCTAACCTGAACAAGTTTTATCAAGGTTGGAGCAAAACTCTGCAAGGATGTGGCTCTCCAGGACCGAAGTCGGCCACCCCTGTCTCTAAGGATTCATGTAAAATTGACAGCACTTACTGATGGGTCCACTAGGTGGAAATACTCACAGCTGTACTCCTGATTTTAAAAACTACTCTAAGATGAAGATTGAAAATGGCAATAAAAACAACACATTAAATATGAAAATAAAAACAAATATATGGATGTGCGAGAAAGTCAGATTAGGGCTGCACGATTAATCGAATGCGATTGTCATGCGCATTTTGATAGTAATGCCGGTTCTGTAATCAGCAGGAAATCATCATCACGTGCTTTCAGATGGATCAGAATTTACTACACAGAGCCGTAGTTCACTGAGACGTTACGCAAAAAAAAATCGCAGACGATTTTATTGCGTGATTATGAAATCGAAGAACCATTTCGATTTATCGTGCAGCCCTAAGTCAGATAGTCAAGTTAAGGCACGCATTTGATCAACTCACGTTCGAAAAAGTGTAAAGATAACATCTCCATACTGCCCTCTGCAGGTTGCAAAGCTGTCGTCAAACTTACCATGACAGGCTCACGGTTAATGGAGTACAATGGAGATGTAACAGCGGAAAGACAAGCATTCCCTCACAGCATGTCCATGCAACCGAGGACATGGCTGAATCGCCATTGAATTATTCCTGTTTGATTTGCCAGGTCTCAGTTCAGCCTCCACCATCACACAAGGACCACAAGACCCTCACACAAACCCCTCCTGCAAAAGCTTTCCACACATTCTGCAGAAATGTTCCATGGAAGGAGATTGGGAGTTAGGCTTTCATTTACTCCCGAGCAGAGCCAACAACAAAGCAGCCCTCTGGAGAAGGACACACAATCACAGAGAGCAGGTGTGACCAGCTCAATGTAATATCTCAGCTGTGTAAGAGTAACCAAACTGAAGTATAAAGTACATTAATGCTCAAATGCAGCTAGAAACACTGCAGGGCTCCTTATAGCTTGACTTTGAGGTTTCCAGCTATCAGAAAACAGAGCACTCTTTGAAAATGGATGTTTATTGCATATGCCATGCTACTCGACGTACACCGCTATTAAGATTTTTAGGTCTGTTTCACAACAAATACTCGTCTTGGCTTTCAAATGGTCATACATGTTCAAACACAAAGTCTGCTAAACAGAGACAAGCCCTGATTTTCTTCATTGAGTAAATGCGGCACAAGATGGCAGAGTTTTGTGTGCCGTGGCAGATTGCTGACAGTTGGGTGTCTGTCACAGTCGGCATAGAGGTTATGTAATGAGTTTGGCTTTTGTCTCTAAACTGCTGATACTGCATGTAGAGCTGTGCTCGGTTAAAAAGAGCTGCCTTTTTGCATTCAGTATGTTCAAAGAAGTGCAGAATGCCTATACACTTGGCAGATAGAGTGTTTTCATACAGCAACTAGGACTCATTCTTTCTTCTGGCCTATTTTTATTTTCTGTCTCACGACGCACAGCAACATGCAGTCTTGTATAACACCGCAGCAAAATATTTGAAAGGGTTTTTTTTTTTTTAAAGGGTTTTGTTTCGTTAAAAATATTTCAAAAGGTTAGTCAGAATGCACTAAATAGACTTGTGAACAGTGACAATTTTATTGTAGTTTTATTGTAGTTTTTTTCATATTATGTACATAGATAGATAGACATAAATATAGAAAAATATGAAGCAGCACAAATGTTTTCTGAAGGATCATGTGAAACTGAAGACTGGAGTAATGATGCTGAAAATTCTGTTTTGTCATCACAGAAATAAATTCTATTTTACAATATATTAGAAATATAACAATAACAGAAATAACTGTTATATAACAGAAATTTTGTAATGATTGTAAGTTTGCCCACTTACAAAGAAATGAAGGGTCTGTAATTTTTAGAGACAGAATACCAACCAAAAAATCCAGAAAAAACACATTATATAAAGGTTAGAAATTGATTTGCATTTCAGTGAGTGAAATGAGTATTTGATCCCCTACCAACCAGCAAGAATTCTGGCTCCCACAGTCGGGTTATGTGCTCATGTGGAACACAGATTAGTCCTGCCACTTTAAGAAGTTACTCCTAATGTCAGCTCGTGTATAAGACTCCTGTCCACACAATCTGTATCTTCCATTCCAACCTCTCCCACCACCACGGGCAAGACCAAAGAGCTGTCAAAGGATGTCAGAGACAAGATTGTAGATCTGCACAAGACTGGAATGGGCATAAGGGTACAGGATGACTTCACTGCATTGAGGGTCAAATAGACGGGGCCATGTACTGTAAAATCTTGGACGAGAACCTCCTTCTCTATGTGCAAACCTGGTGGCCAACTACAAGAAACGTCTTACCTTTGTACTTGCCAGCAAGGGTTTCTTCACCAAGTACTAAGCCATGTTTTGCTTGGGGATCAAATAATTATTGGTCTTCCAGCATGACATTGACCCAAAACATACCACCAAGGCAACAAAGTAGTTGCTCAAGAAGAAGCACGTTAAGGTCATGGAGTGGCCTAGCCAGTCTAAATTTCTAACCTTTAGCCCTATATAATGTGTTTTTTTTTGGTTGGTATTCTGTCTCTATACATTAAAATAAACCTACCATAAAAATTACAGACCCTACAGACCCTTATTTGAGTTGAATTATTGAAATAAATGAACTTTTCCACGACATTCAAATTTATTGAGATGCACATGTATATATATATATACAGTATATATATAAATATAAAATATGTATAATGCATATAATATATATTAGAGGTTCAAAGATTTTTAAGATTTGTAAAGCATGTTAGTTGTAACTGTTGTTGTTCCTGATTTTTTTGTAAACTGAATTAAGACGACACTGACAGACAGCGGCAAGACAGAGTGGACACTAAGCCAGTAGACTAAGCAACAGTTGGAAAGTAATTGACTTGAGGAGAATGTCACCTTCCTGGCACAATTCCATGGCAAAAAAATAATAATAAAAAGCAGCTAAGGCCACACGTTGCAGCAATCACAAAAATATCAGTCTAGGAGACTTTCAGCATTTCCTGGAGCTGAGAGCATATTCAGCAGTGAGTGAAAGTCAGCATGAAATGAACAGAAAACCTCAGTCATCACCTTCAGCTGAACTCACAAACAGTATCAGAGAAGACCAAAGTATATATGTTTCACCAGCATCATATCTGTTCACCTGTAGCCTATATCTGTGAAACCTCCAGTTCATCTGCAGGCCTTTATAAATATTCATCAAGTGGTATGGCTAAATCAACAAGAGCGAGCTGTGGAGAAGGGAGACAGGAACCAACTGACATGCACATTTAATGTCAGAATGTCTAGATGAAATCTGCAAAGAAGACAAGTTATGGGCCTGGATGGGGTGAAGTACTGTGATAAAAATGACAAATATGCAAACTACGCAAGTCTGTACAGTCTCACATTGAGACTGACCCACCAGAGTTCATATTTTACATGATATTAAAGGCTGGGTAACCTTTAAAGATATAGTGACTGATTATATTGCTTGCAATTGCTCACTGTAGCAGCCTGACAGTTGAGTTATACAATACATGTACTATTTTCAGAATCCGAAAATTCAGCCATCATTACGGTTTCAAGCACCCACCAGAGTTCATATTTTACATGATATTAAAGGCTGGGTAACCTAACCTTTAACAATATAGTGACTGATTATTGCTTGCAATTGCTCACTGTAGCAGCCTGACAGTTGAGTTATACAATACATGTACTATTTTCAGAATCAGAAAATTCAGCCATCATTACGGTTTCAATCACCCACATTCAGATTTCATTTACTGCACACCATTTGTTGGAATACTTTTCTCACATTGACCACAAAATAAATCAGGTGTGGTGGAATAAAGCGCTGTTTTTCTGAAACTTCACAAGCAAATGTCTTGCCTATTGCAGAGTCACTCTTACTGCAGGAGTTCTAGTGGATGTTGTACATCGTTACTTACAACGTGTTTCCTGCTGCTCGAATATACCGCGCTGTTTCATAAGAAATAATAAATCACCCTTAGTGTGAGCTTGAAGTCTGGATTTATGGTAAAGTGATAAAAGATTATGTGCCGCGAAACAACGACAAAACAAGAAAACAAAGCAAGCAAAACAAACACAAACAAATACAGCGTGAGTATAGTTAAGTCCGATACATTAACAATTGACTCTTATGAGCCGGTTCTTTTGAGTCAATCAACAACATACCGCGCAATCGGTGTCGACTCACGAACAAAAGCTGGTTCTTTTGAGTGACTCAAAAGCGAAGACAAATTCATGAACAAATGCCTCTGAGCTGGTTAGTGAATCAAAATAGTGCAACCAGCGAAGATCGATTCATGGACAAATGACTAAGCTAAGCGAAGACCGATTCATGAAAGTGAAAGTGAAGTGACTTGTGGCCAAGTAACACCACAGCAAAATATTTGAAACATTAAAAAAAAACAAGGGTTTCGTTTCGTTAAAAATATTTCAAAAGGTTAGTAAGAATGCACTAAATAGACTTGTGAACAGTGAAAATTTGGTGAAAGTTGTTCTTTTCACTGTTTTATTGTATTTTTTTCATATTATGTCTATAGGTATAAATATAGAAAAAAATATGAAGCAGCACATTTTCAACATTTCAAAAAATGTTTCTTGAGCAGCAAATCAGTGTATTAGAATGATTTCTGAAGGATCATGTGACACTGAAGAAATAATAATAACATGCTATATCACACTGTTTAATTCTTCTAATTGTGCCTTTATAAATATGTGTTCTAAAAGTAATCTGAAAAGGTTGCTTTTTATATAATGTAACTGAACTTGAAGACTCTGACTCCCTTTAATTGCATGAGGCCAGCGGATCAGATTTGAACATGCTGTTTTGTAAGAGCTCTAAACATTTTTTTCTTTGCAATTTGCATCAGGCGGTCTGTGAGCAGTCCATGGGCGATTTGTAGGGGTACCAAGACTATTGCACAGGTATCTGACCCGAAGGCCTGAAATGTTCCAGATCCGTAATGTTGTGGTTTATTTCTCTCCTGTTTTGGATTTGATTATCTATTTCAATGAAGAAAAGTCCTCTTTTCCTAAAGAGTGTGGTGATAAATCTATTGGCCGGTGACTGGCTCTCCCCCAGCTGTTCTCTTGGACAGCACAAGGACTGCTGCTTGTGTGGAGAACCAAAGACATCCATCACTTGCTCCCTTTACAGCTTCAAATGGTCATGCCTGAAAATAATGTTCACTCAGCTGCTGATTAATTACAGCTCTCTGTGGCTCAATATGAATGGACTGAAAATACTACTTTGCTGTGACATGCTGTTTGAAATTACACACAAAACGTCTCATATGTACAGTATAAGAATACCAGCTTCAGATATTCATTAATCAATGGTATAGAGAACAAATTCTTGTTTTTTAAAATTATAATACATAACATAAATATATAAAAATGTATAAATACAGTTTACAAAAAATTGTCGTTTAAAAATTGAGTTTGATTATTGTTAAGACAGAAAGAGAGAATGCATGTGAGTGTGTGATATCTAAGATATCCAACAAAGGCATCTGTTCACATCTGATGCCAAATTTACACTGCAAAGGTGGCACAGAAGCGCTTCTGAAGTGGCATTTAGGTATCTTTACACAGACTGTTTAATGCTGCTCAGAGGTGGCATAAATGCATTTGCACAGCAATTACAACTGATATACTTGATACTAGTGGCTGAGGTGGGTCAGAGCAGGCATCATTTTGTCTGGCTTTTATCTGGCATTGCATCTTTACACTGGATTTTGAGCAGGCACAAGCAGCCTTAACTCACCTGTGTAAAGATTCCTTGAGTTAAGGCTGTTCTGTGCCTGCTCAAAATGCAGTGTAAAGACGTAATGTCACATTAAAGCCAGATTAAATTATGCCAGCTCTGACCCACTTCAGCCACTAGTATCACAGTATACAGTTATCATAGCTGTGTAAATGCATGTATGCCACCTCTGAGCAGGATTAAACAATCTGTGTAAAGGTACCTAAATGCCATTTTATAAGCAGCTCTGTGCCACCTTTGCAGTGTAAATTTGGCACAAATAAAAACTTGCTTTCACCATTCAATTATGCTAAATTTACAATGCAAAGGTGGCACAGAAGCACTTCTGAAGTGGCATTTAGGTGTCTTCACACAGACTCTTTAATGCTGCTCAGAGGTGGCATAAATGCATTTACACAGCAGTTACAAGTATACATTGATGCTAGTGGCGGAGGTGGGTCAGAGCTGACATAATTTAGTCTGGCTTTTACTGGAATTGCATCTATACACTCAATTTTGAGCAGGCACAGCGTAGCCTTAGCAAAAGTGTGTAAAGAAACCTTAAATTATTAATCAAATCTTAACTCTTTGGCATATTAAAAGCACAAAAATGCACTCAAAAATGAAAATTTTGTTATAATTTATTCACCCTTATGTTGTTTCAAACTTTCTTTTCTTCTGCTGAATACAAAAGAAGATATTTTGAATAATGCTACAACTGGTTTTGCCTATACAATAAAAGTCAGTAAGATCCAAAACAACACTGGACCCTCTTGACTTTCATTGTATGGACAAAAAACACTGAGACATTTTACACAAAATACCTTCTTTGTGTTACACTGTAGAAAGAGAGTCCTACAGATATTAATGTACAGTAGTTATGTTTCTCTGGATGATTCACCCTTGAACACCTGGATCACTGTAAGTGTACCGTGACACTTAATCGAAAACAGATTTTTTTCTTGTGCATAATCATATGCTTTGTCTTTTCTTACTTAAATGCAAATTATCATAATCTTTCCCAGAGGCAAACAGTGGAAGTAATGCAGTATGACTAACAGACAGCGAGTATTAACCTTTAGTTCTTCAGGCTTTTGAACATGCGACAGGATCCTTTATTGCAAAATCTTTTATTTAAATTTACAAAAGAAAATAGACTATTGTAGTTATGTTTAATGTTCAGTCAGTAATATTTTGCTTATGTTACAAAAAGGTCTAAAGCCAGGAGCCAATAAAATAAGTATTCAGCTGGTCATGTGACTTTAACATGTCTGCCCACATGAAATGACCTGGTTAATGTACATTTAAACTGCTTTTATCAGATTACCAGATGACAGGAGTCTTCATCTCATGTGAGTGAGCATAATTTAATGTACAGCTGTGTTCAGTTTCTTTAAACATATTACACTATGACATTTTGACAATATGCATTTGTATCAAGTCATCTTTATTGCTGTTGATTATTTTCTAGTGTCATCATCATGACTAGCTCTGTGGTCTACTGGGAGGCATACATTATTTACTACGCAGATATTAAGGCATATTTGTTTGCTTAAAGCAAAAGCAACATTTGTATTCATCCCTGCCTCAAGGTATCTTGGACAAGAGCTTGTATTATGGGAGAAAAGGCAAGGCTTATCTTAAAGCCTTAGGCATAATAAAGTTATTGTTTCACATAATTCTGCTAGTCTAAAAAATATAGCGAAATAAATGTTTTATTCATGTGTACTTTAATTGTTCTTTTTGTATTCCCCAGTCTCCCCAAACCGCATACGAAAATATACAAATATTTTGTTAGTTAATTTAAAATATTCAATCAGTTGAAGGAATAGTTCAACCAAAAATGAAAAATTGACTGAAAATGTATTCACCCTCAGGTTGTCCAAGATGCAGATGAGTGTGTTTCTTCATGAGAACTGATTCAGAGAAATGTAGCATTCCATCACTTGCTCACCAATGGATCCTCTGCAGTGAATGGGTGCTGTCAGAATGAAAGTCCAAACATCTGATAAAAACATCACAATAATCCACAAGTAATCCACATCACTCCAGTCTGTCACGATTCGCTGGAGCACGGGCACGAGGAAACGAGGAGACGTGGAGATTTCACAGAACGAGAGTCTTTTAATGATCCAATAGGGAGACACAGAGCACAAGGATGCCGTTCACAACAAGGCAAGGCAAGTTTATTTAAATAGCACATTTCGTACACAATGGTAATTCAAAGTGCTTTACATAAAAGAATGTAAAATAATCATAAAAAAAAAGGAATTTTAAAACTTTGAAAATGATTTAAAAATTGATTTAAAATGAATTTAAGACAATTATTATTTTAAGAAAATTATTATACATACATAAAATACAGTGCAATAAGTTCGGACATCGCACAGTGCTCATTCAATAAATGCACAGCTAAATAGATGAGTTTTGAGTCTAGATTTAAATGTGACTAATGTTTTAGCACATCTGATCTCTTCTGGAAGCTGATTCCAACTGCGGCCGGCAAAATAGCTAAAAGCAGATTCCCCTTGTTTTGTGTTGAACCCTTGGTATTTCTAACTGACTGATCCTAATTAACAACTGCAGTTTTCAGGGAGTTTGGAAACGTCCCAGAGAGAACAAGTAGACCCGACAGAAGATAAATGCACAGACAAGATCTTATAAACACAGGACAATTACCAAACACAGGTGCACAGAATGACTAATTAACTAAACGAGGACAGGAACATGACCAAATAAGGGAACACAGGAACAAAAACAGGGGCAAAACATAACAAAACCGGTCCACGAGCCAGGGGGATGCCGAGGATTCGGGGGGCCATGGTGGAGCCGGAGTGACTGAGGACCAAGGTGGAGCTGGCGGGAGGAAGGAGCCCAATGGAGCCGGTGGGACGGAGTGACGAGGTGCAGCCGGAGGAGCGGAGTCCTGAGGCGATCTGTGAGCCTCTGGGCTCTCAGGGCTGCCCTCGTGGATCAGAGCCCACTCCTGGCTGGACAGGGAAACGGGAGCCCCCTCAGGGCTGGACGGGACCAGCAGGGACGAAGGAGAGAGGAGAGGCAAGTCGACCTCCAGATCTGTTTCCCAGTCTATCAGGTCCCATTCTAAGTGCAGCAGTCCCAGATGTATAATTAGCTCACCCTCAGCTCGGCATTGCACTGGCTCGTTGATTGTGGTGGTGATGGGCTCTCCGTCATTGGTGGGCTCGGGCTGATGCCCCGCACTGCGGGGAGATGGTGGGCTGGGCACTGGGTCTGGAGTGGATCTGGTGAGATCCACGGGGCAGGTGGTGGATGGCGATCCGTTTCTCACCAGAGTCCACTCCACGAAGGCAGTGAAATCCTCTCTAGGACCATCTTCGGACGACGGCGCTCTGCTCGCGGTGTTCCAGCTCGCGTCATAGAATGAGCAGAGTGCCGTCGTCCGGGTAGCTGGTGGTGCTAGCAACCAGCCGGAACAGTCTCGTATGGTCCTCAAGAGATCTGTCCCCCTACTCCAGCAGGAGGAGGAGGAATTCCGGACGGGTGAAGGGATCCATAAGGGAAAACAACGGAAACAAAAACACTGAGAGAAAAAACGGAAACAAAAATGGAGGGTAGACACACGGAGGTAACTGTATTCGGTCGGGTCTTCTGTCACGATTCGCTGGAGCACGAGGAAACGAGGAGACGTGCAGATTTCACAGAATGAGAGCCTTTTAATGATCCAATAGGGAGACACAGAGCACAGGGATGACGTTCACAACAAGTAGACCCGACAGAGGAGAAATGCACAGACAAGAACTTATAAACACAGGACAATTACCAAACACAGGTGCACAGAATGACTAATTAACTAAACGAGGACAGGAACATGACCAAATAAGGGAACACAGGAACAAAAACAGGGGCAAAACATAAAAAAATAGGTCCATGATCCTGACACAGTCTATCAGTTTACACCTTGTGAAGTAAAAAAGCTGTGTGTTTGTAAGAAATAAATCCATCAAGACATTTTTAACCTCAACCCATTGCTTTTGGCCAAAATACGAGTCCATAATCCATAACAACACTTCCTCCAGTGAAAATGTCCATCCCCTGTTGTCCTCTCACATCAAATCCACCCACATATTTGTATAAAACTGTTTTGGACTGTTTTCACTTGTAATCTGTGCTTGATCTGTGCATATTTCTCTCCTGATTCAGACGAGATGACTTTTTCACTTGAAAGAAATAATTGGATTGAGGACTCGTATTTCAGTCGAAAGCAATGGTCTAAGTTAAAAACATCTTAATGATGGATTTGTTTTCTTACATGCAGCTTTTCACTTCACAAGACATACTGGTGGATTAATGCAATGTGTTTATCAGCTGTTTGGACTCTCATTCTGACGGCACCCATTCACTGCAGAGGATCCACTGGTGAGCAAGTGATGTAATGCTACCTTTCTCCAAATCTGTTCTGATGAAGAAGCAAAGCCAAGTAAAAATAATAGTCATAATGATTTAAAATGACTAAATCAACCAGAATAAAGGTCATAATAATAAAAATAATTTTTAAGGTTCAAACCTGATTAAAAAAAATAAAAATAAAAGCTGTTTAGTTCAGTTTTCACTTTGTACACTCTATGCAGGTACACAATCACACAAATAACCCACCACATAGACACACTCTCTTTCACACACACACACACACACACACACACACACACACACACACACACCTGAAGTCATTGCCAAGATGTGAATGTTTATCACCAAATTACACATGGTTCTGTAATCTTGCAATTGAATCAACAATCAATCAAGGCCAGGAAAGGAGAGGACAGGACTAATCGATTCTCAGTTAGCAGTTATGTGGTAATTGTGGAGGTATCAGCCTCTCGAGGTGAACTGCTGTGAGCTTTGAAGCCAAATGACTTGAGGCCCTCAGGGAGAATGTGGATAGCGCCTCAATTCAGCAAATACAAAAATGACATACATTGTTTAGTGTCACTTGTCTTATATGTGTGAATTGTCAGCTGATTTTCTAGTTAGACTAGTAGTTTTGACATCCCACATATAGGACAGTAGTTAAATGCTTGTAGACAGATTTAATATATTCTATAACATCTCCATGTTTATGTTTATCGGTGTGTTAAGTGGAGCCACCGGTGATTTCTGTGACATTTATTTATGTTGTGCTCGCTAAAAGAATCATTCACTGCTGCAGAATTTCTATTAAATATGGCTTATACGATAATGCAGCTGATGGCAGTGCAGAAACAGCAGTTAAAGGGGAAATTATTTATCCAATAACTTCTCAATTTATTATTTCTCTGCTAAAAGAACACTTTCTCGCTCTATTAGTCATATAAGCAAAGGGCGGCAAACAATGTGCTGAAGTCTTTCCATATTCAATTTGTCATATCAATGCCTTTCCATTTGGCTGTTTTTTAATGGCTCTGTAAACATTTCATTATTCATTTTTAATGAGTTTCCTACACAATCTGTTTGGCTGTTCAAAACTGACCACTAAAGTGTTTTGGGTGACTTTTAGGGTGTTGCTATGTGGTTGGCGAGTACTAGGGTGTTAAAAAGTGTTTGTTTAAGCCTCGATAAAATCACAGTGTTTTTTTGTTTTTTTTTCACTCAGGGGTAAAAAGAAGTTGGAAATACCTGAGCAGCAGTTTACTGTTAGCGAACATCTCAATTGACCTTGACCTTGATGGACTGAGCAGAATAACTATTTTCAATGGAAAGCAGTAACAGTCTGAAAAGACACTAAATTACGTCTTACGCTAATTAGCATATTAATGGTGCTGTTGCATTCTGCCTAATGTCCACCATTAGCATCTACTCCTACGCCCTGTGCTCACATAATGTATTTAATGCAACCATAATCTTAATAAGGCTGTTATAATTTACATATTTTCCGTTTCTGTTGTCAGACAATGGAACAAATATGAAATAGTGACTGAAACGCGCAACCCAAGACTACCAGCATTCCCTTTCGAGCCATCTTCAAGCTGCCGTTCTGCACTGTTAAATTATCCTGATTTACAGCAGCAACATTGTCTGCATAAACTTAAAGACAATGGCTGCACTGTGATTTCAGCTATATTTACATGTAAATAATCACTCAGAGAGAAAGTTAGAAGCAACAGAATGTCTTATCCATTCAGTGAGCCAGCGCACAGCCTCAACTGAACCTGCCACTCCACTCAGCCACTCACTGAATAGAGCAGATGCAGACAGAGGCATGTCTGTGCCGAGAAAGCAAGACTTCACGCTCGTGGCACAGTACTGGAGAGTCTCGGAAAGTAGCTAAGGTTTGTCCAGAAAGTCACAAGATTTGACGCTAGTTTTTTTTTTGAAGTAAAAAAAAGGGGTCGAAAAAGTCACTAAATCTAGCGACAAAGTCGCTAACTTGGCAACAATTAATAAACCGGAGAAAATTTCCATGTCAAAGAAGGCAGAGCCCCAGAGCCACACTTACTATTCTCCACAGACCACTGGGACTTCCAGGGTATTTACCGGCCGGAGCAAATTTTTCCCAAACGTTCGCTTTGGCAAGCTGTTTTGAACTTCTAAAACAAACTCCAGATGAACTTTATTTTGGCCTGATTTTGTTCAAAATGACATCATAACAGTTTGTTATTTGATTTTGCTTGAAGTAAACTGGGGCCTTTGTTGCTTCAAGTCAAAAATCCCCGATTTTCTATGAAATTCCGGTCTGTAGACATTCTTATTGTTTCACTGCACTTTAGAGCAGTGTTTGAAGTGTTTACAGTTTTTAAAAGGCAGGACTGCTCTGTGTAAAGGCCTCATTTGGCATTCATGTCTTGGGAGGCCAGTCTCTCTCTCTCTCTCTCTTGCTCTTTTGTAGGTTTTCTCTTGCTCTATACTAGAAGTAAACAGCAGATTTGATCAATGATTCCTCTGTGCTCTCCTGCCTCACATGTCCATTTTCTGGCAGACAGCAGATGGTGGACGTGGAGCAAATTTACTACAGCACAAAAAACTTTTTGTCTTGACTTTAATGCACCTCTGCGGCACCCTCAGACCAAATGTTCAATATCTACATTTAAATAATTTTAAAGTGCATTATTTTATGGTCTATTACTGAGAGGCTGCTATGAATCTTTGTATTATTAATGTTCAGTATATCAGATCTTGTGATGGATTTCATTGTGATTGTTTTGTCCGACTAGATTACGACATTCGCGGTGCTTCCTGTGACTGGGCATCAAAGTCCCTTTCCAAATTTACTACAGCACAAAAAACTTCTGTCTTGACTTTAATGCACCTCTGCGGCACCCTCAGAACAAATGTTCAATATCTACATTTAAATAATTTTAAAGTGCATTATTTTATGGTCTATTACTGAGAGGCTGCTATGAATCTTTGTATTATTAATGTTCAGTATATCAGATCTTGTGATGGATTTCATTGTGATTGTTTTGTCCGACTAGATTACGACATTCGCGGTGCTTCCTGTGACTGGGCATCAAAGTCCCTTTCAAAGAAAGTCTGTTCACTCTGCGGCCATATTTGCAACGCCTCCGGGCAGCTATTTCGGAGATCCAAATCCTATCTAAATAAATGAGGGAATCCTGAAATCTCAAAAAGTGCATGCTGAACTCAAAATTGTATTTCATATTCCAAATCAGCAACAAAATCTGAAATGAACTGTCCCATGAATGTTATTCCTTATGCTCAAATAGCATTAAAAAAAGCTTTTTTGTTTTTCTGGCTAGACCAGCCTATGCGCATGTGCAGTCATAAGCGCGGATCTCAGGTTTCTATGGGAACCGGAGCTTCTAAGGGCGGCTGCAGTGATGCAATGACTTTACCAATCACCGATTGGCTCTTTCAGTTAGAAAGTGGGACATATTCCACCATATTGCACATTTCAGTTTTTCCCATTCATAAGTAATATGAGTGAATCATCTTTGTATATCTACAGTCTTTGGTGGGCGTTCCCTGCAGAGCAGAGCAATTTTTTATGCAATTGTCTTGTCTTGACTCTCTAATTGGTGGAATTTTTTTACACAGCATCATGGGTAATGTAGTTTTTACTACAAATTCAGCTATAGAGTGCATTAGTGCCCACCCACTTTTATTTATTTTAATTTTTTCCATTCATTTTTCCATTCATTTTTTGGGGGGATTTAAAAAAACAAAGTCTTGGTTAAAGCATTATAAGCCATGAACCAAGCCAACCAGCTATGAGGTGAATCACAAAATTACAAACTTTGATTTCAAGTAAAAAAAGTATGAATATTGGACACAAAGACAAAGGTACAAGACTGTGTTCTTACCGGCCTTAATGAGGGAAAGAACTACAATCCCATAAGCCATTGTGAATTACAAATTCACATATATGTCTGTTCACTTTTTCGAGCGCTGTCAGTCAAATCCATTCCACTTGAGGAATGCCCTAATGAATTCAACTCCATTCAACATTTTAGCTACAGCCTTGACTTCCACGCGGCTGCTTCCTCAGACCCATTCCACTTGGCTCATTCAGAGTCCATATACTCAAATTTTTAATATATTTTTTTGCTTCCGACGCTATTTTTTTTTATTTCACACATTCATGTG